TCAACAACCCTGTGAAGGAGGTACTGCTCTCATCCCCATTTTATAGTAGAGAATAGGGAGACACAGAGAGGTTAGGTGACTTGCCTGATATCACCAGTAACGGTGCAGCTAGTAAGTGTCAGAATTGGAATTTTCACCTGGCATCTGTGCTCAGTCGTTATTCTGATATCTGATACTGCTATGATGTTTGTACATTTTAAGAACATTTTTTTCCTGCTGCGGCGAAGCCCTCACAATGAGAAGAGTGGTGAGACCCATGAACGCTGCGAGCGGTCAAGAAATTGCCATTTTGCAAGCAAGAATGTCTTCATGCTCAAATTGGAGTCATCCTTTTTTAAAATTTAATCTTAGTTTCAACATACGTTCTTTTTACTCCTGAGTACAATTCTCAAAATCACCACCCCCTAAGTGCTTAGTGAGAAAGAAATACATCATAGTTTTCAAAATTTTTTTAGGGTCAAGAGGATCAGAGGAAGAGAGAGAATCTTTTTTTTTTTTTGCATATTTTATTTTTTTTAAAGATTTTATTTATTTATTTGACAGAGAGAGAGAGATCACAAGTAGGCAGAAAGGCAGGCAGAGAGGTGGCGGGAAGCAGGCTCCCTGCTGAGAAGAGAGCCCAATGTGGGGCTCGATCCAAGGACCCTGAGATCATGACCTGAGCCGAAGGCAGAGGCTTAACCCACTGAGCCACCCAGTGCCCTATTTTTTTATTAACATATAATGTACTATTTGTTTCAGAGGTACAGGTCTGTGAATCATCAGTCTTAACACAATTCACAGCACTCACCATAGCACATATCCTCCCTAATGTCCATAACACAGCCACACTATCCCTCACCCCCTGCACCCCCAGCAACCCTCAGTTTGTTTCCTGAGATTAAGAGTCTCTTATGGTTTGTCTCCCTCTCTGGTTTCATCTTGTTTCATTTTTCAAACCTCCCTTCCCCTATGATCCTCTGTCTTGTTTCTCAAATTCCTTATATCAGTGAGATCATATGATAATTGTCTTTCTTTGGTTGACTTATTTTCTTAGCATAATACCCTCTAGTTCCATCCACATCAATGCAAATGGCAAGATTTTGGATTTTTGATGGCTGCATAATATTCCTGTGTGTGTGTGTGTGTGTGTGTACACACACACACACACCACATCTTCTTTATCCATGCATTTGTTGATGGACATCTAGGTTCTTTCCATAGTTTGGCTAATGTGGACATTGCTACTATAAACATTGGTGTGCACTTGCCCCTTCAGATCACTACATTTATATCTTTGGGGTAAATACACAGTAGTAAGATTGATAGGTCATAGGGTAGCTCTATTTTCAATTTTTTGAGGAGCCTCCATACTGTTTTCCAGAGTGGCCGCACCAGCTTGCATTCCCACCAACAGTGTAGGAGGGTTCCCCCTTCTCCGCATTCTCGCCAACATCTGTCATTTCCTGACTTGTTAATTTTAGCCATTCTGACTGGTGTGAAGTGGTATCTCACTGTGGTTTTGATTTGTAGTTCACTGATACTGAGGGATGCTGAGCACTTTTGCATGTGTCTGTTGCCACTTGGATGTCTTCTTTGCAGAAATGTCTGTTCATGTCTTCTGCCCATTTCTTAACTGGCTGAGGTTGAAGAGGTTGTTGCCTGTGTTCTCCTCAAGATTTTGATGGATTCCTATCTCACATTGAGGTCCTTCATCCATTTTGAGTCTATTTTTGTATGTGATGTAAGGAAATAGCCCAGTTTCATTCTTCTGCATGTGGCTGTCCAATTTTTTCAACACCATTTGTTGAAGAGAGTGTCTTTTATCCATTGGACATTCTTTCCTGCTTTGTCAAAGATTAGTTGACCATAGAGCTGAGGGTCCATTTTTGGGCTCTCTCTTCTGTTCCATTGACCTATGTGTCTGTTTCTGTGCCAGTACCATACTGTCTTGATGACAGCTTTGTAATAGAGCTTGAAGTCTGGAATTGTGATGCCACCAACTTTGGCTTTCTTTTCAATATTCCTCTGGCTATTCAAGGTCTTTTCTGGTTCCATATAAATTTTAGGATTATTTGTTCCATTTCTTTGGAAAAAACTTGATGGCATTTTGATAGGGATTGCTTTAAATGTGTAGATTGCTGTAGGTAGCATAGACATTTTCACAATATCTGTTCTTCTTATCCATGAGCGTGGAACATTTTTCCCATTTTCACAATATTTGCTCTTCCTATCCATGAGCAAGAAACATGTTTCCATTGCTTTATGTCCTTTTCCATTTCTTTCATGAGTATTCTACAGTTTTCTGAGTAAGATTCTTTTCCTCCTTGGTTAGGTTTATTCCCAGGCATCTTATGGTTTTGGGTGCAATTAAATGGGATTGACTCCTTAATTTCTCATTCTTCTGTCTTGCTGTTGGTGTAGAGAAATGCGACAGATTTCTGTGCATTGATTTTAAATCCTGACACTTAACTGAATTCCTGTATGAGTTCTAGCAATTTTGGAGTGGAGTCTTTAAGGTTTTCCACATAAAGTGTCATATCATCTGCAAAGAGTTAGAGTTTGACTTCTTTGCCAATCTGGATGCATGTTATTTCTTTTTGTTGTCTGATTGCTGAGGCTAGGACTTCTATGTTGAATATGTACTATGCTGAATAGCAGTAATGACAGTGGGCATCCCTGCCCTGTTCCTGACCTTAGGGGGAAAGCTCTCAGTTTTTTCCCATTGAGATGATATTCACTGTGGGTTTTTCATAGATGGTTTTTATGATATTGAGTTATGTACCCTCTATCCCTACATTTTGAAGAGTTTTGATCAAGAAATGATTCTGTACTTTGTCAAATGCTTTTTCTGTATCTATTGAGAGTATCATATGGTTCTTGTTCCTTCTTTTATTAATATATTTTATCACATTGATTGACTTGTGGTTGTCGAACCAACCTTGTAGCCCAGGAATAAATCCCACTTGGTTGTGGTGAATAACCCTTTTAACGTACTGTTGGATCCTATTAACTAGTATTTTGATGAGAACTTTTGCATCCGTGTTCATCAAGGATATTGGTCTATAACTCTCCTTTTCGATGGGGTCTTTTTCTGGTTTGGGGATCAAGGTAATGCTGGCCTCATAAAATGAGTTTGGAAGTTTTCCTTCCATTTCCATTTTTTGGAACAGTTTCAGGAGAATAGGTATTAATTTAAATGTTTGGTAGAATTTCCCTTGGGAGCCCATTTGGTTCTAGGCTCTTGTTTTTGGGGAGATTTTTGAAGACTGCTCAATTTCCTTACTGGTTTTCTATTTCTATTTCTTCCTGGTTCAGTTTTGATAGTTTATAAGTCTCCAGGAATATATCCATTTCTTCCAGATTGTCTAATTTGCTGGTGTGTAGTTGCTCATAATATGTTCTTATAATTGTTTGTATTTCTTTGTTGGTTGTGATCGCTCCTTTCATTCATTTTATTTATTTGGGTCCTTTCTCTTTTCTTTTTGGTAAGTCTGGCCAGGAGTTTATCAATCTTGTTAATTCTTTCAAAGAACAAACTCCTAGTTTCATTGATCTGTTCTACTGTTCTTTTGGTTCCGTTTCATTGATTTCTGCTCTGATATTTATCATTGCTCTTCTCCTGCTGGGTTTAGGCTTTCTTTGCTGGTCTTTCTTCAGCTTCTTTAGAGGTAGGGTTAGGTTTTGTATTTGAGACCTTTCTTGCTTCTTGAAAAAGGCTTGTATTGCTATATACTTTCCTCTTAAGATCACCTTTGCTGCATCCCTAAGATTTTGAACAGTTGTGTTTTCATTTTCATTTATTTACATGAATTTCATTAATTCTTTAATTTCCTGGTTGACCCATTCATTCTTCAGTAGGATGCTCTTTAGCCTCCATGTATTTGAGTTCTCTTCAACTTTCCTCTTGTGGTTGAGTTCTAAAGAATTGTGGTCTGAAAATATGCAGGGAATGATCCCAATCTTTTGGTACCAGTTGAGACCTGATTTGTGACCCAGGATGTGATCTATTCTGGAGAATGTTCCATGTGTACTAGAGAAGAATGTGTATTCTGTTGCTTTGGGATGGAATGTTCCAAATATATCTGTGTGTCCACCTGGTCCACGGTACCTTTATTTCCTTGTTGATCTTTTGCTTAGATGACCTGTCCATTTCAATGAGGGGGGTGTAAAAGTCCCCTACTACTATTGTATTATTGTCAATGTGTTTCTTTGATTTTGTTATTAATTGGTTTACATAATTGGCTATTCCCATGTTAGGGGCATAGATATTTAAAATTGTTCGATCTTCTTCTTGGATAGACCCTTTAAGTATGATATAGCATCCTTCCTCATCTCTTATTATAGTCTTTGGCTTAAAATCTTATTTGTTTGATATAAGGATTGCCACCCCAGTTTTCTTCTGATGTCCATTAGCGTGGTAAATTTTTTTCCACCCCCTTACTTTAAATCTGGAGGTGTCTTTGGGCCTAAAATGAATCTCTTGCAGGTAGCATATCAATGGGTCTTGGTTTTTTACCCATTCTGATCTGTGTCTTTTGATTGGGGCATTTAGCCCATTTATATTCAAGGTACCTATTGAAAGAGATGAATTTAGTGCCATTGGGTTGCCCTTAAGGTGACTGTTACTGTATATTATCTCTGTTCCTTTCTGGTCTATGTTACTTTTAGGCTCTCTTTTTACTTAAAGGACCCTTTCAATATTTCCTGTAGGGCTAGTTTGGTGTTCTTAAATTCTTTTCACTTTTGTTTGTCCTGGAAGCTTTTTATTTCTCCTTCTATTTTCAATGACAGCCTAGCTAGATACGGTATTCTTGGATGCATATTTTTTCTCATTTAGAGCTCTGAATATATCATGCCTGTTCTTTCTGGCCTGCCAGGTCTCTGTGGATAGGTCTGCTGCCAATATAATATTTCTATCATTGTAGGTTATAGACCTCTTGTCCTGAGCTGATTTCAGGATTTTCTCTTTGTCTCTGAGACTTGTAAGTTTTACTATTAGCTGATGGGGTGTTGATCTATTTTTTTTTTTTTTATGCCTTCAGGAGCATGTTTATTGTGTTTGAGATGATACATCAGGTGCTCTCTGAGCTACAAAGGGTAAAAGGAAATCCTCTCATTACAAACTGACAAAGGTAAAAGGTAAAACATTTTTCACAACAGCATGAACCACATACTCAGAAATAGATCTGGGTTTAATACAAATGACATAATTCCTAGTCATCTACGGCTACTTTTATAACTTCATACAGATAATGAATTAGGCTAAAATGCACTATAATATTTGGTAGACTTCAGGACCAGTATCCTTAGTACATCACAAAATACATTTTGATATCCCAAAGAAGCAAGACTTGCAAGTAGGCGTTTTAAACATAACTAATCTACAGCTACAAAGTTCTACTCTTGATAGCATTTACCTTTTTGGGGAGTCTCCCAGTCTCCAAAGGATAAAAGCAGAGAGTAGAATCAGTATAACATATACACAGAAGTCCGTATTGTAAAGGCTATAAAGATTTGCAGCACAGTGGGAAGGGGCCCTCTGCTCCTTCACACCGCATACAAATTCTGTGAATTATGTGGCGTATCTCTTGGTCCACTGTCTGGCTATCCTGTCATGTTCTGCTCTGTTGGTCAAATACTGAGTGGCTATGCTTCCAACCAGAGGATCCGCAGGGTTGCAATCTGTCAAAAGAGAACAAATCGACAGCAAAACCTTTGAAATAGTCAAAGCAGGACTCCAGTTGTCTTTAAGGATGTCCAGACAGATGACTCCCTGACTGTTGATGTTGCAGTGATAGATTCTGGTGCGGAAAGTAACCTTTGGTGGCTTAAATGGATAATCAGATGAAAAAGTGATATCCAGAAAAAACACACCACCTTCATATACAGAACCTGGTGGACCAAGTATAGTTGATCTCCATTCATAAATGTTATCTCCTTTAGGCCCAGCACTGCAGTTAGGAGGAGGATCAAGAGTTATTTCAGCTAGCTCCTTCTGAATTCTTTTAGCACTAGTGGATAACTTAGCAGTGGTTTTGCTAGAGAGTTTGGTGTTTTTCTTCTGCTGGGTGGCAGAAGGTTTTCTTTCTTCCTGTTCTTCAGGCTCTGGAGCGGCTGGGTCTCGCTGGTCCGCATCTGAACTACCACTGCTGGTGCTGGGGCTCTCATCATCGGACCTTTGCCTATCACTGGACATCTTGGTGAAGTTATTTCTTGGAAAACTCGGCCGCCCGCCCGGCCCGCTCGCGCGCCGCTACGGTCGTGTTGATCTATTTTTATTGATATTTTATTGATATATGTGCCCCCTGGTTTTTGATTCCTGTTTCCTCCCCCAAATTAGAGAAGGTCTCTGCTATAATTTGCTCCAATATACCTTCTTCCCTTCTTTCTCTCTTTCTTGTTCTTCTTCTGGGATCCCTATTATTCTATATTGTTTTGTCTTATGTTATCACTTATCTCTCAAATTCTCCCCTCATGATCCAGTAGTTGTTCATCTCTCTTTTTCTCAGCTTTTTTATTCTCCATCATTTGGTCTTCTATATCACTAATTCTCTCTTCTGCCTCATTTATTCTAGCAGTTAGAGCCTCCATTTTTTTTTTATCACACCTCATTAATAGCCTTTTTGATTTTGACTTGGTTAGATTTTAGTTCTTTTATTTCTCCAGAAAGGGATTCTCTAATATCTTCTATGTTTTTTTCAAGCCCAACTAGCATCTTTATAATTGTCATTCTGAACTCTAGGTCTGACATCTTACTAAGGTCCATATTGATTAGGTCCCTAGCAGTTGGTACTACCTTTTATTCTTTTCTTTGAGGTGAGTTTTTCCACCTTGTCATTTTGTCTAGAGAAGAATAGATGAATGAGAGAACAAAATGCTAAGAGGGTAACAATGACCCAAAAAATATATACACTAACCAAATCAGAAGAGACCCAAAATTGGGGGAAGAGGAAAGGGGAAAAAAAAAAAAAAAAAAAAAAAAATATATATATATATATATATATTATTAGGTTGGTGAATAGAACAGAGCCACACACTTGATTTGGGGTGTATTTTGATCTGTTAGAAGAAACTGCCTCCCAAAATTTTAAAGAAAGAAAAACTTATATATATACAAAAATAAGGGTGAGCATGATGAAGGGATGTAATATGACTATAAAGATAAAAATTTAAAAAGATTTTTAAAAAGGAATTGATAAGAAGTTGGTTAAAAAAAGAAAGAAAAAGTGTAAAAAAAAAGTAAAAAAAAAAAAAAAAAGGAGAGAATGTGATCTTGTTGGAGCCTAGAACAAAGCCATTTGCTGGATTTAGGGTATATTTTGTTCTGTTAGAAGAAACTGTATCCCAGACACCTGGGTGGCTCAGTTGATTAAGTGACTACCTTCAGCTCAGGTCATGATCCTGGAGTCCTGGGATCAAGTCCCACATCAGACTCCCTGCTCAGGGGGAGTCTGCTTCTTCCCCTGAACCTCTCCCCTCTCATGCTCTCTCTCACTCACTCTCTCAAGAAAATAAAATCTTTTAAAAAAAGAAGAAGAAGAAACTGCATCCCAAAATTTTAAAGAAAGAAAAACTTATATGTATACAAAAAATAAGGTTAAGTACAATGAAAGGATAGAATATGACTATAAAAATGAAAATTAAAAAAAGATTTTTTAAAAGGTATTGAGAAGATATGTTGGTTAAAATAGGAAAGAGAAAAAATTCAAAAAAAAAAGAAGAAAAAAATAATGAAAATTTTAAAAAATTTAACTTTGAAGGACTAAAGAATCATGGGAGGAAAGCCATGACTTCTGTGTGCTATATTCTCCTAGCACAGGTGTTTTGCAGTTCTCATTGATCAGTAAACTGAGTCTTGGCTGGATGTTCTTGCTGATCTTCTAGGGTAGGGGCAAGTTGCAGTGATTCTCAAATGTCTTTGCCTGAGGCAGAATTGTGCCACACTTGCCAGGGGCGGGGCTAAGAAATCTGGAGTTCACTCTTGGGAGCTTTTGTTCCCTGAATGCTTTCTGTAGAGCTCTGGAGGAGGATAATGAAAATGGCGGCCTCCCAATCTCCACCCTGGAGGAGCTGAGAGCTCACACCCACTCCTCAGTGTGCCCTCAGAGAAAAGCAGTCAATCCCTCCTGTCTCCCTGGTCTCCAGCCAAGCTCCGAGCTCACCCAGCCTGAGACCGAGCATTTCTGTCTCCGGTGCACAGCCCTGTTTGGAGTCTCCAAACCCAGCAGATTCCTGCAGCATGCTCCCATGCCACTCCTCCCATGGAAGGAAGGAGGGGGTGTCCCTGGATCCGCTGCTTGTGAGGTCCCTGCTCAATGAGCAGTGGTCTGACTATGCTTTGGATCACAGTTTAAGGTAACCCCGACCTGAGAGCTCACTCCTTGGCTCCATCTCTGCAGCTGGCTTCCCCGATCCAATACCTGGGAACTCTGCCACACTCAGACACCCCTGGTCTTTCTGTGACCCTGTGGGTCCTGAGACCATACAGTCCCCATGAGGGCTCCACCCCCTGCTTAGCCTCTGGAGTGACGTCCCTCAATGGAGCAGACTTCTAGAAGTTCTGATTTTGTGCTCAGCTGCTCCACCACTTACCAGGAGTCATCCCCTCCCCGCTGAGGTCTCTCTTCCCATATATATCCTCAGATTCACTTCTCCACACATCCTACCTTCCAGAAAATGGTTGCTTTTCTGTTCCTAGAATTGCTGCCCTTCTTCTCTTTGATCTCCTGTTGAGTTTGTAAATGTTCAGAACGGTTTGATAACTATCTAGATGAACTCCTGAGACAGAAGAAAGTTAGATCTCCTGCTCCTCCACCATCTTGCTCCTCCCCTCCAGACAGAGAGAGAGAGAGAGACTCTTAAACAGGCTCCCTGACCAGCATGGAGCCCCATGCAGGCCTTGAACTCAGAACCATGAGATCATGAGTCAGAAATCAAGAATCCAATGTTTAACCCACTGAGCCACCCGGGCACCCCAGTACATCACAATTTTTAAACACTTCACATAGTCCCTATTATAAAATCATAAGACCACAGTCATGCATCTGGTACTAGTAAATAGACATATATTTCTGGAAAGAGAATGAGCAGTGGGTCTCCAATGTTTTTTGTAAATCAAGATTAATCCTGAGAACTTCCAGTGACATATGAAAGAAATGTAATCATTCTTAATTCTTGACTTCCTGACTTAATTCTTGACCTCCTTGACTTCCTGAGAGAAATCCAGCTGAACATGTACAACTCCTGGAACTCATTGAACCAAAAAATGTTTTTCTTCCAATTTATATCAGGGGAGTAGACTACAATGAACACTTGGGGTTAATGGGGAATTTTTTTTTAATGTCTCAAATCTATAGCTCCCTCTATTCCTGTCAAATTAATTTAATGTAGATTGAACAAAATATTATATATATTATGTATATAATGTATACATAATATATAACAAAATATTATATATATTATATAATAATATTAACAATGTATAGATCTTTTGTTTAAACCACTGTAAATTACATATGGGTGTATATAGAGATTAAATGGAGAGCGTAAACTTAATAACCATGAGGAATAATATAGCTGTGGTATTTAAGCAGAGAAGTTGGTTGTGAGTTTCTCAGGGCCAAGCGAACGGGAAACATAAATTCTGTACTTCCTGGGATAAGGACTACCAGGTACTATGTACCTATCATTTTCTGGGTACTGTATTAAGTCTTTAATGTTCTTTCTTTATTTCAATTACTTTACACTCTACTCTTTAAAATAGATATTATGGGGCACCTGGGTGGCTCAGTGGGTTAAAGCCTCTGCCTTCGGCTCAGGTCATGATCTCAGAATCCTGGGATCGAGCCCCACATCGGGCTCTCTGCACAGCAAGGAGCCTGCTTCCTCCTCTCTCTCTGCCTGCTTCCCTGCCTACTTGTGATCTCTGTCTATCAAATAAAGAAATAAAATATTTAATAAATAAATAAATAAATAAAATAGATATTATTCCCCATTTAACATATGAAGAAGCTGAGTCTCAGAAGGACTAAGTTGCCTAAATTCATATAACTAAAAAATGGGGGAACTAGGATTCAAAGCCAAAAGCTATGTAAGTATGAAATGCATTTTTTTCTACCACTTCTTCTATTAGAAAGGAAAAAAGAAAGAAAGAAAAAGAAAACCAATTTTGTAACCATTTTTCTCACTGTAAATTACAAGTGAAATTTCTCCCAGGGAGCTTTAAAACCATAGGTGATTTTTATCTGGATATGGGAGTAGGGGAGGGAGAGGAGGAGGGGAAAGGAAAGAGAGAGAGAGAATATGTATTTCCCCTCAGCCAAACTATCATATATAAGAACTGGATATCAAAAGACTATGCTTTCAAGTTCCAGTGGAAAGAGAAGTTTGTCTCTCTACACATTCTGATGGCAATGCAGCACATCTGGACAACTCAACATGGACTCTTTCCTCTGCATTCAAAACAAAGGACCTCTAGTCCCAAGAAGCCAGGCTCAGCAATGAAGAAGACAGGCTGCTCATTCCACCTCAGCAGTGTCTCCAGTGCCAGCCAAAGACAGACTCCCCCTTAAGGGAGCCATTTACCCATGGGTGCTGTGTGCCACCTTGTGAGCTGGAGACAATGTGCAATTTCCTGAATGACAGCCAGGCCTCAGAGCATGCTGTAATTCAGGCCCCAGACCCCAGGCGGCACCATGTGCAACGTAGTTGGAGGTATGGGATGTACAGATACTTCTGTCCCTGGTCCTAGGCTGCACAGAGAAATGAGTGATATGGGGATCTACTGGAAACATTATAGAGTGCTGCAAACCCAACCTAAAGAGTCATGAACTTGGAGTCATTGAGCCCCTTTCTGCCACTAACTACTTCAGGGGACCTTGAGCAATTCCTCCGGGCCTCATCTACAAATGTGAAAGTTCCACCAGGTGATCAGCAGGGGCCCATCCAGCTCTAACAATGTGAACCCACCACAGGAGAGAAACTCACCTCTCTGGTCTTCTAACTGGCCTCAGCTTTCTGATCTCTTTCATTCCTTACTGCCAAAATGGTAAGGTACAGCTCTGCTCTTTTTTTTTTTTTTTTTTTTTTTTAGATTTTATTTATTTGATAGATCACAAGCAGGCAGAGAGGCAGGCAGAGAGAGAGAGGAGGAAGCAGGCTCCCTGCTGAGCAGAGAGCCCAATGCGGGGCTCGATCCCAGGACTCCGAGACCACGACCCGAGCTGAAGGCAGCGGCTTAACCCACTGAGCCACCCAGGCGCCCCTACAGCTCTGCTCTTATCATATCTGCAATACAGCACCCAAAAACATTCATAACTGGGCTATTTGCCTACTGCCACGATCATTCATTCAATCATTCTTTCAAGAAATATTTATTACGTGTTCCCCACCATGTCCACACTATCCCAGGCACGTGGAACTACTTGCTGTTCCCCTAACATGCCAGGGTTTTTTGTGCCTCTGTGTTTGCTTACACTGTTCCCTGTGGTATGGAAGCACTTCTCCCATTTTCCACTAGACCAACTCGTGTTCATCTCAGCATAAGTCTTTTCCTTTCTGAAATCTCCTAGATCGCGATCGTTCTCTGTGACTTCTTAACATTTCATACCATGATCATAGTATTTAGCACATTGTTTTGAGATGACATCTGTACATGTGTGACAAGGTAATGTCTCAATACTCTTGGAGGTGTAATTTTTCCCTCTACAATTTCCTTCCTCTTTATATTTCTCCTACCACTGACACAGAGGCTTTTTTTAATGTACTATCTATCCTCAGGATAGGGCGATTACTGGTGACATCAACAGAGAAAGAATTCATTGCACAAATCTGAGCACCAAAATGAACTTGTGAGATTCATACCAAACTTATGAAGCTGATAGCTACAACAGAAAATGTTTTCTAGGGGTGCCTGGGTGGCTCAGTGGGTTAAAGCCTCTGTCTTCGGCTCAGGTCATGATCTCAGGGTCCTGGGATTGAGCCCTGCATCAGGCTCTCCACTCAGCAGGGAGCCTGCCTCCTCCTTTCTCTGCCTGCCTCTCTGCCTACTTGTGATCTCTGTCTGTCAAATAAATAAATAAAATCTTTTTAAAAAAATGTTTTCTAGATTTCAAGAGCCTGAACATTTAAATATCAGTATGTATACCATAAGCAAAAGAATTCTGTAGCCAAGAGATGAAGTCAGCCTACCCAGCTCCTCCATTCCCCCTTTCACCTAGACTAGAAAAAGGTTACCCACACTAGAGTTAAAAATGGGTGTCAGACTTCAACCCCCTGCTTATCCTCAAAACAAGTTTCAGGGGCGAGTGAGGATTTATGTCCCACTTCCTCCCTCGGACCTGGAAAGTACTGGCAATGCAGAGGTATTCTGAGCCAAAGGTAGCATTAAGGGGAAAATGTGCTGTGCCATATAGAAGCAAGTGAGGGACGAGAGAACCTCTGAGTTTTCTCCAGAATGGCATGAAGACCAGATTCTGGAAGCTCCTGTGCCCCCAAGAGGCATAAGATATTGATGAAAGACAACCAGTGACCCTAAAGGTCCCAGAAGTCAGAATGAGGCAGATGGAAAGGGATTGCATGGCCCCAATGACTAGGGACTCTGTGGATAGCCAGTCCCAACACTGTGGTCCTTCCATATGCATTTCTTACTTGTCTCTGTATCTCTGGTGACAAGCACAGTGGCCAATAAATGTTCACTTTGTAATATAATGCAGCCAGGAGCATGGAGCAGTAAAGAGTTACCAGAGAAACTGAGTTCTGTTTACACCATTTCCCTTAATTCTCCATGTAACCCCCAAGCACCATTAATAATAAAATAACTATCTCATAGAAACAGAGCATAGAATAGTAGTTGCCAGACACTGGGGGTTGGGGGCAGAGAAATGGGGGGGGGTGGTTAGTCAAAGGGTACAAACTTATTTATAAGATGAGTAAGTCCTGGGAATTTAATGTGTAGCATGGTGACTATAATTATCAGTACTATATTGTATTCTTGAAATTTGCTGAAAGTAGACCTTAAATGTTCTCGCTATACACACACACACACACACACACAGGTAACAATGTGAGGTGATGGAAGAGTTAACTACCTTATTGTGGAAATCACTTCACTATAGAGAGAGAGGCAGTCATCACGTTGTACATTATAAATTTACGTAATATTATTTGCCAAATTATGTCAGTAAAACTGAGGAAAGAAGTCCCCAAGATCACACACGTACACACACAGTAATGATAAAAATAACAACAATAATAAAATGACACAGTAGTCCTCTAATGAGGAACTGATGAGAAATTATGAAAAACAAATGACAAGTATTTAGAATTTCAAAATCTTGAGGGCCCCAAGCTCTGTGAGTACAAGCCAAGACTGGAAACAAACACCTGAAGCATTTTTCAGTCATTAATACTTTATTATATTAATACTTGATATATTACTTTTTCTCCTAAAATTTTATATAATATCATAAATAGATGGACAGTTTCCTTACAAATAGGAGCATGAAGCCAGCCTCTCTATGTAGCAAATCTTAATAAACATGTGTGCTAGATCCTTATCCCATCCCTCCCACGCCACCCCGCCCCGCACTGCCCCTCCCACACACTCATATTGTGGTTACGTTTTCTGCATTTTCATCTCCACAGAACAGAATTTACCAACAGAATTCCCCGGGGAACGGCACCGAGTCACAGTGAGGGCAGGGCTAGGACGCACAAACAAGTCGGCCACGTGCGCCTTCCTTCTCCTGCATCCCTTTCCAAGGGGTTGGGACCGCGGAACAGCTCAGGACCTGATTATGATTCGGAAGCGCCCCAGAAATTTGACACTATATGTAAGACAGAGCTTTGAGAACTCTGCGCAGGTCTTATCTAGAGACCGATGAAGTGGAGAGGATTGGGACCACAGAGGACTTGCTGCAGAGCGCTGGGTAAGGACTAGCATTTCTGGGCTGCTTCAGCCGGCGGCCGTTCAGGCGCTCAGAGAGCGCACGATGGGGGTGACGCAGGTGCAGCCCACCGTCACCAGCACTTTCTCCAGCCGGAAGGAGCGAGAGCAGCCCCGGGGCTCCCTCCGCAGGACCAGGAACTCCTGCTGAATGGGAACTGAATTCAGGGAGCTGTCTTCCTGCCCCTCGGCATTGATGCAGCCCGAGTACCGGCACTGGGCCTCCGCAATCTCCGAGGGGAACCGGTGGGGGTCCTGGGTGATGCTGCGGGGGGGAGGCGGGGGGACAAAAGCAGGTGGTGAGACAAGGGAGAAGGAAATGGGCAAATGTAAGCGCCCCGCGGTGCTGGGCGCTCACCTGCAGGGAGGCATTTCCAAAGGAGCAGTCCAGGACTGCAGCCAGACGGCCTGGATCCATCCACCACCCGCTGGCAGGTGATTAACTGCCTAAGCCTGTCTCCTCCACTCTAAAATGGGAATTCTCACAGGTCTGTTTCTTCGGATTTTTGAGGATACTCAATGATACAAATGCACATGGAACGCTCTGTCCTGGCATTCAATAAATGTCAGACCTTTTATTTTTCATTACACTGTTGTCATTATTGTAATTATTATTCACCCTTTGCCTAGATATATGGATCACTAGTAAATATAAATATCTAATATGAAATCTACAAAGCCTTCTGCTTGGAAAGAAAACCGAAGCCCCAGACATCTGTGAATCCAGCACATTCTCTCAGTTTCTCCCTTCATAGTCCCCTCTGCTAGGCTCAAAGGCAGTAAAGTCATGCCAGCCAATTTGCCACTATACCCACTCCCTTGCTGTAGGAAGCCATGCAGGCAGCCCCCAAAGCACTTCTAATTGTCCCTGGAATCTGTTTTCGTACATCTATTTGGAGCTTATAGATGAGTGCTTGGTATTCCCAGATCTGACACATCAGACAGTATCATGGGAGGGTACCCTGAACACCCCATCCCCATCTTGCTTTCCCTTTCCCAAACTGTCCTTTCTTGTCCATTCTACCCTCATCCCCATTCCTTGAAGACTGATGTATAATCTGAGTGAATCACTCCATACTGACATTTCTGGTTCCCACTTATCCCCATGCAGGGATCATTATGTGGGCTGCCTTAAAGAGCCCTCTCTTCCAACACAGAATGTTTGTCAATTCCAGCATTATGAGGCAGGAAAAGGCAGAGTGCCGATGAGAAGCTGGAAAGAAAATAGCAGGACCTCTAACCACATAGGAGGACCTAGCCCCACAACAGCAGGAAAAAATGTCAGCTCCTGAGCAAAGTGGGATTTCTGTTTTTAAGAGTAAATATTAGGGCTTTTACGTTTTCTCTATATTTTCTAAATTTCTAAATTTTCCACATAAGAATAAGTTAACATATTTTTCAAAAGACGTGAAGATCAGTCTCATTTACACTTACTTGTAGTCCCAGGGGGAGATGGAGCGGTTCTGGAAATTTGAGAAGGAAATACCCCGGTTTTGCCTGAGGATGCGGATGTCAACCCTCACACTGTTATCCTCCAGAGGAGGGCACAGGGCAGCATCCCCTGCTTTGGGGTTTTTCCAAGCTGTGACCTCCCTCAGGAAGGTGAGCCCCAACATTACCAGGAGCAGGGACTTGACCTGGAAAATAGAGAAGGTGGAGTTGGTTAGGGACTCAGGTGTCATTTGCTGGCAAGAGGCACCCCATGCTTTATCTGAACTCAGGATACCCAGTGTTTTATGGGCCCACAGCTTCTTTCTGAACCTCAGGTCCTCACCTGAAAATGGGAACAGTCACACATGAAGATATCAGGGTGCCAAACTGAATAGTAAACTCATTAGCCTGGTGATTGAGCCTCCCACAGTCTGAGAGCTCTTCAACAGTTGAACAAAAAGGTATCAGGATCTGGGACTGGGTTTAAATCTCGACCTGGTCTCATCACTGAACCTCTGGTTTCTCTTCTTTCCAACTGGATTATAATAATTGCTTTATAATAATATTCACAAGATTAAATGTAATATTCCATATAGATCACCTATAAATTTATCTAATAAAGGGTTAATAAATGATAGTTGTTGTTGTTTTTTTAAAGATTTTATTTATTTATTTGACACACGGCGAGAGAAATCACAAGTAGGCAGAGAGGCAGGCAGAGAGAGAGGAGGAAGCAGGGTCTCCGCTGAGCAAAGAACCCAATGTGGGACTCAATCCCAGAACCCTGGGATCATGACCTGAGCTGAAGGCAGAGGCTTAACCCACTGAGCCACCCAGGTGCCCGATAGTTCTTATTTTTATTTCCAAACTCATATTTCATGAATTCTCCACAAAATCCTTCCTCCCAGCCATCCCTCCACCTAGAATACACAGTCCCACCTCTACCTATGCAAATCCTACCCTTCCATCAAGACCTCATCCTAAGGTGGTCTTCTCCAGGAACTGTCTCTCTAAAGTCATTCATTTAGAAATATGTTCATTTTCCTTAAATCATAAAGTACTTGCCATTTAGCATTGAATGCCACAGCATTCAAGTACCATGTCTTTATTGTCTGGAAATGTACTACTTTTGTCCAGGTCAGACAGGCACCCATTGGATTATAAGTTCCTGCAGGAGAACATACCACAGAACCTGTATTCCACAAATACTTTCTGGATGAATGGAAGAGCAGGTGAGTGAATGAATGAACAAAATAATACAGTTAAATTCAAAACATTAAGAAAAACACTGCACAAAACCAGCTGCATCAAAGTCCCGATTATCCACACTCCCTGAAAGAAGCAGGGCCATTCATGATGCACAACAACCGAGCATACGGAAACTACTTGTCTTTAGCTCTAAAACATATATTCTTTATACTTACATTGAAACATTGGTCTATTGGTGTTACGGGAATGCACAAGGAAAGAGAGCGCTCTGTGAAGACCTAGCTAAAAGAAGAGCTACAAATCTCTCCAGCTCCCCTTTGTTGCAACCATGTTCTGCTCACCCCACCATCACCACCCACACTTACTGGGGATGGACAAGGACCATCACCATCTCTCAACATAATGCGGAATAAATAAGGGCTGAAGCTGAGTTGCTTTCATTCTCTGGTTTCAGTGTTATTCAGGCTCACACCTTCCACGGATTAAGGTGGGGGGATGATTGGACATCTCTGTTTAAAGGACCTCCTTTTTATATTTTGCAGATGTTAGAGGTAAAAAATGACAAGAGTATGCAGAAAGGTCACGGTGTCAATTTCCTGTACAAAGGTAGCTGATACTAAAAAGAAGTCGAAAGCAAGATTGACTCTGATTAGCCTGAAGTAAGCTGATTTGCTTTCAGATAATGGGCACTTGTCTATTTTCATCTGCTACAATCATTCATTCATTCAATTCTTTCTTGACTCTGTATGTGGTAACTCAGGACACATGCTCTAAAGTCAGATGTCCTGAGTCCGTAACTCAGTCAGGACTCTGACTAGCTGAAATTCAATTTTCTCCACCAGAAAATGTAAAGATTAAATGATATCATCCACATAAGGGAGGAAAAGCACTGCCAGCACGTGTAAGGATTCAGCACAGAGGGCTAGTAGGTCGACCTTGTTGATGATGTACAATGGACAGGAAAGATGTGGAATTTGCCCTCATGCATCTTCTGTTGGGACAAAGCGCTAAGAAATAAATTCAAAAAGTTTAAAGATACCTACTTAGACCAGAGGATTCTTAGCTTCCCAAGCCTTCCAATCACTTCCTTTGGTTTCTTAAGGAAATTCCTTCTGTGTGTTTCCTCTTTCCTCTTCAGTATCAAATGCACTGAGTCACCTCTAGCTTTCATTATCAAAGCTTTAAAGTCACTGTATCTTTGGGTGATATGATTCAGCAATCATTTCCATACGTCTAACAAATCACTATATTTTCTTATGTTCTTAGAGTGTGTTAGAACACACCTTCACATCTTTGAATACTGGATTCTCACAACTCTCTCACCAGGTAGGTAGAGCTAGCATTAATTATCCCAGTGAGACCAGTGAGAGCCATGCCTGGTAAGCAACAAACAGCTTGGTTGGATTCACTAGCCTATTGGTATCAGTTTGGGGACTCAAACCTAGGTGTCAGTTCGGTTGCTATTGAAGTCCATTATTATTATCAAGATAGAGCCACTCATGGTGTTTAATCCTAGCTTTATCCCTCAGGAGGAGCCACGCATTGTAAGCAATGTGGCAGCTGTGTCAGAATTGCATAAATGTTGGAGGTCACAGAGCTCTTTATCAGGAAATCAGATGATGCCTGCAAATCACTCTAGTTTTCTCCACAAAGCTTTTGATCCGAAACTGTAGATTTTAGTGGTTATGCGCCAGAGGCTTTGATATGGCTCTTGCTGATTCTTAAGAATGACATACACAGCACTTCTTCTCTGAAAGGTTCAGAGCATCTTATAGATATGAATTCCTATAGGTCACCTATGAGGCAGATAAATAGGTATCACTCCTAATCTGTACAACAGGAAACAGAGGCAAGAGAACACACCAGTGAAGGTGGGCACTATCAGGACATTGACAGCCCAACTCTACTGCAAGCTCACCTGAGACCATCTGAGTATTTGTCTCCTGAACTTCTCTGTCCTGTGTGCTCTCCCCTGGGTAGGAATGTGCTGCAGAGCCTGGCCAGTTTCTAGGCCTGTAGGAATTTGCCTCAACTACTTATTGAATATGTCCAACCGGCGTGCATCTCTCACCGTCTAATCCTATTCTAACGCCCTTGCACTATCATGTTTCTTGCAGATGGCCCAACCGAGTACCTCAAACAAACCAGAAACAGAAATGGCTTTGGTTAAGCCATTAAAAAAGCTATCCTACAGATTCTTTTAGACACAATGGCTTCAAATTCAGGAATCTTGCCTCTGAACCATTCAAAGAGAAGCATACTGTACTGGATGTTGGTAAACCTAGATTCACATCCCAGTTCTTATGGACAGTACCCAGTGATGTTAAATCACTTGGCCTAATTGAGCTGTTTTTCATCTGTTTGATGGAGAAAGTAGTCCCAATCTACTTCCCTGGGTTGACAAGAGTTTCAGAGGAAAAAATAATAATATTATTAATATTAATATTTAATACATTGCATGTTTTCCCTATCCTTGTTGGTTAATATATTAAAATGAACAATTTAACTAAAAACTAAGCCAGTTCAGAGTACATATCAGATTTAGTCATTTTCAATGATATCAATTAATCTCCCAAGAAAACCTCTGAGGGAAATGCCATTATTATTCCCCTATATAGTTAAGGGAATAATTGTGCACAGAGCAGCTAAGTAATTTATTCCAAATCCCACATTACTAAGTAGAGGAGCCAGGTCTGTCTGACACCAAAGCCTGTGTTCCCTAACTATCGCACTTTGCTGCATTTCTGATATTCTCTACAACAATACATAAATAGAACATAGTGCTATCATCACCATATGCCATGACCTTTTATGAAATCCAAGCTCTTTTAAGTTATAGGACTTGTAGGGCGCCTGGGTGGCTCAGTGGGTTAAAGCCTCTGCCTTCGGCTCAGGTCACGATCCCAGGGTCCTGGGATCGAGCCCCGCATCGGGCTCTCTGCTCAGCAGGGAGCCTGCTTCCTCCTCTCTCTCTGCCTGCCTCTCTGCCTACTTGTGATCTCTGTCTGTCAAATAAATAAATAAAAAATCTTAAAATAAAAAAAAAAGTTATAGGACTTGTAAATGGAGGGGAAAAAAGAGGACTATTTAAGCCCAAAATATGGCATATAATTTCCCAAGCCCTGTTTTCAAGGCTCCTCTACGTTATATTCTTCCCAGTCTTTACCTGACTAATGCCGGGCGAGATTCTAAACCCAGGAGAAGTAGATTTCCATCATACTAACATCTCTATGTCTTCCTCCATGAGGAATGAGACAAAGCAAAATTCATCAGCTCTCTGAGACATAGCAACTTGTCCTCTGGGAGCTATCCAAAGTTCAGTACTCAGGGGTTTCACTTCCTTCATCCTGGGCATTCTGTCTACTGGTAGTCTTAAGGGAATCATTAAAGTGTTGGGAACCCCACTTTCCTCGGCGAAAATACATATATACTATCCTAAAAGGCTGGAAGTCCCCATGATGAGCTAAGAGTTTCAGACCAATCTAAGTCTATCATGGTGGCCACAGGGGAGATCATGTCCAACGGTCTCTGCCACCAGACGTGAGCGAGCTACCAACTACCCATGCAAAAGCCACCCTGTGAAGACCTATGTTTTGCACCCCATTGTAACTTCTAGTTATTTGTTCTTTTTCTCCACCAAACAGGGGTCAAAATCAAAGTCAGTTCTGTCCTTAAGAAATGTCCCCAGTAAAGACACCAGTCAGGCCCAATTCCCGAGGAATCGGCTCTCCCGAAATCCTAGGGATGACAGCTGCAAAAGAAAGAGTTATTTTTACTCACCATGGCCATGTTGCGCAGGAAGGTCATCATCATTTTGCTCTGGTTGCCTGCTTTGTGTAGTAAATTCTTCCTGTGTGTGTGTCACCCTGTATATGCCTGTGCTGTGTCAATGAGAGTACCTGTCGGTTTTATACCAATCACTGTCCTTATTTCGATTGACCTCCTTACTGTCTTAGTTGTGGTTACCCCAGAGTTACTGACGAATGTAGTTTTTTTTTTTTCTATTCCACTTCCTGAAGGGGAATCAGAGAGGGACCCTAAAAGGGGATGACGGAAAAAGGACCAAATCTTCCTTTTCTTCCACCCCCCCCTTGTCCTCAAATTACAGCAAAATTCTTAACTTACTACAGAGATGAACCAAATTACAAATAATTGCTGCCATGATCTTTTATGGCCTCCCCAAATGGCTAACGACTCTTGTCACGCACCACATGTTCTACTTTCCAGTCATGCGATATGAACCACAATTTAAGAGGGAGATATGTCATCCTTAGAGGGTCCTTGGTATTAAATGAGAGGACTATCTTTAGCTCTGTTTTATAAATGGGAAAACAAAACCAAAGAAATTAATGACATCAGTAAGAGACTCAGAATTATATCCGCAGGTAGCTTCATAGACTCCCTGAACAAATTCTATTTTAATCCCATGTTTTAAATCCTACTTATGCTTAATAAGTAATCATTTTCATAAAACATATAATTGACCATTATCTTGGCCATGCTGACTGAGGATTTTTTTAGCAGAAATGAATTAGCAAGTAGAGCCTTTGAATGCTCTAACATAATTTTAAATGACCTACAGAAAGTTAATTTTTCTCTGTTCCATTTAAGTCAACAAAGTTTTATTAAGTATATACTTTATGACTGGTAATGTATTCTAGGGATACACAGATATTTCTAAATTAACAGTTGCCTTTTTTTTTTTTTTCTCCAGTAGGATCAGGGGGAAATTACACATTCCTTTAAAAAGGCAGGGCAAGGGCACCTGGGTGGCTCAGTGGGTTAAAGCCTCTGCTTTGGGCTCAGGTCATGATCCCAGGGTCTTGGAATAGAGCCCCACCTCAGGCTCTCTGTTCAGCAGGGAGCCTGCTACCTGCCCCCCAACCCCCCACCACCTGCCTCTCTGCCTACTTGTGATCTCTGTCTGTCAAATAAATAAATAAAATCTTTTAAAAAGTAAAATAAAAAGGCAAGGCATATTCTAGCAGGTAAGTTATCTTTTTCTATCACAACATGTTTGAAAAACTTTCCTCCATTTTCTTTAAGTGGAGGAAATGAAAAGGAATCAGCTCTTGGGTTCTTTGGAAGCCCTCCAAGACTGATTGAAATTCTTCTGTGCTCATGAGCTTTCATCCACATCTCTCCTCCCCATGCCTGTGGATTCTTCTCTACACCCTACCCAGATCAATGAGAAGTTTAACTCCTATAAGAAGGCTCCCTTGAATCATCCCCTCAGGCATCTTTCCCTTCCTTGTGACCTCTGTGCTCATATTAATCTATTTCATACTTGTGAATATGCTTTAGGAGGGTTTTCTGAGGACTTAAGGTAACTTTAGTTCCTTCTCCCCAGTGATCTCTACCAGCCTCCTTCTCTAAATATACATCCCCAAATATATGACCTAAATTAAAACTGTACATTTTCTATACATACACAGATTCAAGACAAGTCCCCTAGCTGACCGTTTCCAACCAGACTGAAGCTCCTGAGCCCGACATATAGAGAATTTTCAAGGCCGGGCCAGATATGGCCTTCCATGAACTCAGGGAAGCTAGCACATAAATCAAGAGCCATGTTTTCAAAATTGCTATTATCAATCGTGCTACCAGAGCACTATATGCAATAGACCCTTCAAAGAATATTAAATTGAGTGGGTTGAGTTTCTCTCTTTCTTCAGTGGTCTCCTCTCCATTTAGAGCCAAATCGTAATGCATAGAAGACTACACCAGCTCTCTTGAAAGAAGGAGCAAGTCACTTTGAACAAAGAGTATGTAATTCGGGGTACCTGGGTGGCTCAGGCAGTTGAGCATCTGACTCTTGACTGCAGCTCAGGTCATGATCTCAGGATCGTGAGATCAAATCCCGTGATGGGCTCTGTGCTCAGCATGGAGTCTGCTTGGATTCTCTGTCCCTCTTCCTCTGCCCTTTCTATTCACACTCTTGATCTTGTTCTCTAAAATAAACAAATACATACATACATACATACATACAATCTTTAAAGAGTACCCGATTCAACACAAGAGGATTTGCTGCATTGCAGAGGAGAATTAAATGGCCCTTTATGTAAGACGGAAACTGACCTTTTACATCCAGCCGTCACGAAGTTTTCCTTCATCAAGCTAAAAATAAGATCAGATCATCATTTCGGCTAACATTTAGTAAGCACTTCTTACACTGTAAATTATGTGCCAATACTAAGGATACAATAATGAATATATGATTAATACACAGCTGGTTATGGTGGAAGCCCATCATGACTACCCATGCACCACCCATGACCCTTTCAGAGTTTCAGTCATACACATGGAGCTGTCACTCAACTCACTGACCACCAGGACACTCTACACCCAAGTCCAAGAACCCACAGAAAGAGATGGCAGAAGATGTTGTAGTTCCAAGAATGAGTTACACACAGCCTCACATGTGGTAAAATATTATACCTGGTCAAACATTCAAGTTAGCAAGATTTTTTTATGCCCTACCATGTGCCAGGGAGCCATGCTACATATTTTGGGCGCTACTCTTACTGGAAATAGACATACAATTATAGTCTCTACTTTAATGAATTTAAAATCTAGTTAGGGAAGGAAAGCAGATATGCCAAATTAACTGATAAGATAATAACATGAGAGGCCTAGGATATTGACAGTTAAATGTACACATTTAGCTTACATTGGAGAGACTTTATCCTTAAAAAAAAGTACATCTAGGGGCGCCTGGGTGGCTCAGTTGGTTAAGCAGCTGCCTTCGGCTCAGGTCATGATTCTGGGGTTCTGGGATCGAGCCCTGCGTCGGGCTCCCTGCTTAGCAGAGAGGCTGCTTCTCTCTCTCCCTCTGCCTGCTGCTCTGCTTACTTGTGCTCTCTCTCTACCTCTCTGTCAAATAAATAAATAAAATCTTAAAAAAAGAAAAGTACATCTAATCAAGCTATGCAGCCATAATCTGGCAGTATATATGTGGATATAGAAATTGATCCCTAGAAGAGAGGAGCACCACAGCAAAAGGCTAAAATAGCAGCATGATCAGTAATGGCCATGCAGCAGGCTGCAATGACTGGGCAATTGTAGGCTAGATTAACAAGGACCCAAGTTGTGCAATGGCAAAACAGTTAGGAAAATTATTACCTGCAATAACCTAGAGGTACAATAAGAGCTGTAGAGGAAAAGATT